TATTCCGGATTTTGGCTTCACTTTGGCGATAATTTGACTTCGCTTTGCTTGTGGCAGACTCTGTCATCATTTTGGTCGCATTTTGACATTTCACATGTTGACAGACATGATTACCAAACCATATCCTACTGAGGACACAGATGGATATGGTTCTGTGACCGAAATGTTTGCTGGGGAGTTGTATTCTATAACACGATCATGCAAAATGAGACAATAGGCTGTAGTATTTGCTGGTATATTTTCATTGCAATCGAATTCAATTCGTATATCGACGGTTGCACTTTTGACAGCCTCGTTTTGACGTGAGCAATCGATAACCATTAAAAAACCACACTGCAAAAAGTTGTAGATCGTGAGAAACGGTACGGCAACATCACAATCGTAGTAAGTTTTGCGGAAATGCGTGTACATGTCGTACAAAACGGCATTTTTTCTTGTAAAAATCTAACTGCAAGTCATCATAGGGATAGAATTCAGAGTTGAGATATAGTTTTACATTGGTCAACTGACAATGATCGAATTGTGAGATATCTGTTAACATATCGTTTCTTCGAGCAATTTGCAAAGCAAATATGACGTATCTTGGTTTCTCAAGTTGTGTCGCCGTTTTTACGGTCCACGAGTGTTTAGTTGTGCTCTGTAATAACGGAAACTCATAGAGATCCCACGAGTGGAAACTCATGGTCAAGTACCGCCCGCTTTCCAGCGTTCGTAGCAGTGAAAGCTTTGTGACATCGTTCAACACTACATGTGGCATTCGCCATTGCACTTTGAATAATTCAATTTTTCCATTCAATGCTTCACGATCTATCTGAGAAATCGCTGTTATGCAGTATTTGTCGTTGCGCGATCGTATTAAAATTAGTTCATGACGTGCATTAATAACAGTGCGCTTGTAGTTCTCGTAGAATCCTAATAACATGCTGAGTAGTACACAGAAATTAAAGTACCTATCTATGTCCGTATGTAGTGCAGTATCCCATCCAGCATTCTTCATAGCTATGCTTTTATCATGTGTTAGCGATATGTAGTTTTTGATTGTGTTGGTTATTCCAACGTTTCTATTATGATCAATCTCCACACCATTGAGTTCATAACGAATCTTATCGAACATAAAAGCCGCGCAATTATTTCCCAAATATACTTCTTCTTCATCTTTCTTTGTTAACGTCATTTTTCCTTCGATGTAAAGAAAACTTTGACAAGGTAAAGTGTACAAGTCCTGCTGGGTTATAGGTATGCGTATTTCATTACTGTGTTCAAATGTTGTGTTCACATATGGATTGTACGTGTGAGTTTCAATCTTGACGATGCGATCATCAAAGATCGGTTCACCTCCAACGTTTAAAATGTCAACCATATTTTCAAATTTTTCGTACAATAAATTCCAACGATTGTAAAAATTTAAAGTCCGTTTATCGAACTTAGCTTCTTCCGATTACTGTACGTAGTAGTAGCAGATGTTTGTAATGGAAATCTCGTATCTCGCGTTACTGATCCGCCTCGTTCAACACGAGCATGCCGTGTATTACAATCGTCGGCGTCGTACGTGTAACTTGACAGTTATTTCTTCTCCTCGAAAATCAAGCAATTGTCCGTTTTGATCCACAATGCGTATCGTTAGATCCGTAATACTCTGCACGATGATTGGAAGATAAATGATTTGCGCCGATGTTTCCGAGATCTTATATCTTGGTAGCACGCTCGACGAAAACTCATGTATCGTATGCACACACTGATTGTTGTTGTACGCACCAGCGGTCACGTTGCACTCTATGCGAATAAGGTTTACGTTGATAATATTAATTGGCACGTCTGATACGTACCACTGTCGCGGCTCTAAAATACGAGTCGGTGAAAAACCTAACAACGACCCAATGTTGTTAGATTTGGTAAAATTTATTTGATAGGTGCAGTTTATTTCACTTTTCATTGTGTTGGTATTTGCACGTAGTATTATTGGAGGAACGCCCTCATCCTTATCTATGCTTCTTACATTACGTTGCATCATTGCATGTTGAAGATAGTTGTTAATATCCTGCAATTCGTAAGATTCTTCAGGAATTGTAATTTGCTTATTATCCGCATCATAATAAAATTTGTTGTTGGATAAATTCACATTTGGTATTGTATGATACGTTTCAAAATCTGTTAATCCAAGCTCATAATCGTCATCACTTAAATCAATGGCAGGAAAAGAGCTAACCGCAAGAGTACTACTTTTGCCTGTAAGTGTGAACGTCAATGACATGTTGTCGAATGCGTTCTCAAGTCTGATAGCACGCTATTTAAATGAATATTGCTTATCAACCGTCTGAAGAAACCATGAACATAGTTGACCACAATTACTTTAATTATAACGTTGAAAAGACGTACGGTTGTATTCTAATTTCTCTACGGTATGTTTGAGATAACACACTACTTTTTCCGGTGGTTGAAGATTGCCAAAACTGTCGAAATATATGGCATGCTTTCTCCTCTTTGTATACGCCACCCAGTGGGTGCCCGATCCATCTGCATCATCTAAATTGACGATATCGCTCTCATTACGACGTACTACGTCTGGTAAGGTATTATGCATAAAAACACCTTTAAAAAAAGGTATGCGCATACGTTTAGCTAGCTGCTCCAACTGTAAGTTTGTTGTTACACTTGAAGGTAATTTTAATGTCTTTTCCGAGTTGTTTTTCTTTTTGAAAGTCCCCGTCCGTACGGAGTTAGATAAAGTCCTCGACTTTCCATTGCACGATTATGTCGCTGCATTTCTTCTAGCTGCCGCTGCGCAGCTTTTGTATCATTTACCGTTTTTGCAACTCCCGCTGCTCCACCAACAAGCGCGCCAAGAGCACCGGTCCTAGCAGCGGTAGGACCAGTAACACACCACCGCGTTTAGCAATTGGAAGTATTCGCTTTCTTTTTGCTGACTTGCTTTTCTTTTTCAAGCCCATGCCGAGTTTTGTTTTTGCTTTCATAGCCACCTACACGGCAGTCGCAGCTGCTCTCTCACCGAGACTCGAGTCTACCGCTGTAATACGATCGCGCGCCCTTGCAGCAAGTGCGTTATCAGCCACGTGTCGAGCAGCGAGTTCGTTGTTTCGAGAATAAGCTATATCGTGTTCACGACAAACCGCGTCCAATGGATTAATGCCTCGATTGCCTCTAGCTAATCGTTTCTCCAAAAGTGTTCCCGAGCCACAAAATTGATAGCCTGGAATATGTAACTCGACGGGAAGGGCGTTTATCATGCGATTTAATAATCCGCGACCTGACATAGATTGCAATATATGTTTAACATCAACTGTCTTTTGACGACTGAGTAGTTTTGCTCCACGCGCCTCTATAAATAGGAGTGACTCTCTATCGCAAAGCAGTTGCAAACAAATCATGCGGTTCGTGCGACAATCTGTGACGATCAAAGTAACTAATTTCGATAGCAAGACTCCACAAGTGTCCGACAAAAAAATACGTAGACATGGAATAATGCTACCGGTTTCTAAACGCGGTATTGTACGGTCCTTCAAATTGCGGCAAGACAAACGTAGTGTTAAGCTTGCTTGAAAGCCCACACGGTGTACGCTTCGAGAACGTGTATGTGTATTCAAAGTCGTTGCAACAACCAAAGTATCAATACCTGGAAAACGTGCTTTTGTCAGTAAATGAAATTGGTTATTTTACTTTCTCTAATAATAGCGATGTGATTCCACCGAGTGAAGCACTTTCGAATTCTATTTTTATCTTTGATGATGTGGCATGTGACAAGCAGGATACAATACGAGAGTACTTTGCAATGGGTCGTCACGCGAGCGTCGATTGTTTTTATCTCTGTCAGACGTATGCAAGGATACCAAAACATCTTATACATGACAATGCAAATCTAATAATTCTCTTTAAACAAGATGGTATCAATCTCAAGCATGTGTACAACGATCACGTGAACACGGATATGTCATACGAGAAGTTTTGTATGTTATGTCGCAAATGTTGGCAACACAAGTACGGATTTTTAGTAACTGACAAGGACAGTTCTCTAGATAAAGGTCGCTATAGAAAAGGATTTAACAAATTTGCAATACCGTCGAGTGATTAATCGTTGTTGAAACGTCGATTGAGCATCTTTTATCGAACAACATGGCTTCATCACACAACAAAAGCAATGAAAGTATAAATTGCGAGAAAGTAGCAAAGGAGATTGCAAAAACGAGTCAATCTATTCGTCAAAAATATCGCGCTTTAAAAACTGGTAAACTAGAAGAAGAAATTGCATTAGAAAGACAGTTCAAACCTATTATCGAACCCTTACAACAGATTGTCGAAAATATTAAAACTAATCCAAAGACGGACATTGTTTCTCAAAGACACGCCACACGACATCCGGAAGAAGCGGAAACAAACGCAAGCAAATGAAACACTGTCCCCTACTCTACATTAGTCAAAGCGCGCGCGATATAACACCGTAAAATCAGTAGTTACTTCTACTCCGACAAACAAACGAACCGAACAGCAATTGACATGGGATTCTCCATCGATTGATACTATCGTCGATACTGATGTTACTGCCGACGAATCGTTTGAGTCGACTGTTCAACGTCAAATGCAAACATTAGAAGGTCTTGAAATGTTTCAAAGTCACTTTGGTCCGTTGGCACAACAATATATGAGAGCTATCCTAAGTGGTAAGAAAGAAAGCAACATAGACTACGTTTACGGTGTGTATTTTGACAACGAAGGAATGATGCTTGGTGATAAACGTTTTGACATAGATAAAGAGGATAATATAATCATAGACGGTATACGATTCACAGCAACACAAGGATTGTACGATTTGATTTTCATGAAATGTCCTAGGAGCGAATTATATATCGAAGAAGATAAACAACGATATAAAAACATACTGGAACTGACAAATGCTCACAGAAAACATCATAACAAATTCGGTGCGATATTGGGTAACAAAGGATATAAGTACAAATACATAATTGCGCCTTTAATATCGAGTGTGCATATCAAGCAGGGGAAAGGTATAAACATATCGCGTGCTATGATGCTAAGCGATCGGAAGATCCAATATGAGCACTGGGATGATCCCAATGAACTCGTCGATCGTTTGCGATTGCTAGACGCATCTCGTCAGGCGGGCAATAATGCTCACGATAACGAAATCCTGTCGATCATCGAAGAACTGCGCAAAGCAAGTCTCATTATAAATTAAGTAGCGCGCCGGTATTAGAATCAGTTGTGTGCGAATCATCATGCCAATTAACAAATTCGGGATATCGCTTGAAACACATGGAGCGTCAATGCATTACGAAAGAGAGGCGCTACTGCAAAAATATGTGTGTAATACCGCTCTCTGCTTTGTCAGCTCCGGCTACGATGCAAGGTCGCGCAAGATACTACATGTAGCGCAACCCGATACCGACACTGACGCCGCCAAGCGATATGTGTGTCACGAGCGTGAAAGGATGGCAGGAGACACGCGAGAGAAAAATTATTGCATTACAACAGGATGTGCAAACGTTGCGCGACGCTATAAAACAACTTCAGAATATAAACAATTATGACTTCAGAATATGTTTCAATATCAATCAACTCAAAGTAAAACAGCTGCTACCAGAGCTGCCAACAGAGTAGACGTACAGTAAGACAACTATGGCCATGAATCATGTCACAATCGAAAAACAACGTCTTATAGAGAAATTGCACGCTTCGGCAAGACGAAATTTTCCTCGTAGACACGTTATTGTACGCGGATACGATGATCTCTGGCAAGCGGATGTGGTAGAAATGCCTCCGTATTTGCGCTTCAACAAAGGCTACCACTACATACTTACGGTTATCGATGTGTTGAGCAAGTATGCATGGGCCATACCGCTTAAGAGTAAAAGTGGACGCGAAGTTGCCAAAGCTTTTGCAGGAATATTTCGATAACAAACGATATCCAAACAATTTGCAAACTGATCGCGGAAAGGAACTCTACAACATAGATGTACAGGCATTGATAAAAAAGCATAGCATCAATCATTATTCTACATATTCGGTTATGAAGGTCTCGATTGTGGAACGATTCAACCGTACGTTGAAGAACGACATGTGGAAACAATTTACACTTAACGGAACCTACAAATGGATTGACATACTATCGCGTCTTCTTGTGGAGTACAACGCGAGAAAACATCGAACTATCGATATGCGACCTATCGATGTTACTCTTGCAATCGCTGATAAACTCTTAATCACGGTGTACAGCAACGTAAAAATCGCTGGACCAGCACGATTCAAAGTAGGCGATCCGGTAGGTTGGATCCTCAAGCAGACACCGGCGCTGTGACACCGAACGTTGATTGGCGAAAAGCGGGTGGTAAGGGTAAATGGCAAGAAAACGGCGCTAAAGCAACGGAGCTGTCATGAGGATTGAGTTTTCCATGATTTTTTGGTGTTGAAGCGCCGAAATGTGTGTGCCACCGCAAATATACTCGGATTTTGATGTTTCTTGATTTCTTGTGAAACATAAAAATTATATATATTTACATTCCTTGACAACTTGACGTAACGTGCGTAGTTACATAAGATATTTGTGGACAAGTTTTAGATGTCTTAGTAAGTACCAGTAATCTCAGTACTAGCTAATCTCGGTTTGGCATATGCTCCTCCCGCGAAGGAGCAACGCGCTACTTAAGCAAAGAAGAAGAAGAAGAAGAAAATTGTATTACACTATTAAACAACGTAGAATTACATTTATTTCCATAATACATATATATTATTGCAGAATTTTATTGAAAAAGATATTTGCTGAAGTACTTACTTGAAGGTTTGCCATTTTTTGCACGTATATTTATTGTTACGTCCTGTCCCCTGGAAACGGTCGGGCATGGACGGAGCGTAACACTAGTCGAATTTTCTTTATCTCTCGACACACACACTTGGAGATACGGTCGTGTGTGCGTGCGAGAGTCGAGCGATCTTTCGGGTCCGGCGGACGGGTCAACGATTGTGTGCCGCTCTTCCTCCGTCGCTCTTTGGACTTCGCTCGTGTGTCTCTTTTTAAGGCCTGAGACGCAAATCTCAATTGCCTGGGACGAGACTGTGCGATCTGTTTAAAAGGTGCGGGATGGTGGGCAAGAGGTCGATTAATAAATGTTTAGACGATAATTATGATTGAATATATATATGTATATTTGCTCATATTTTATGTGTAGTAGTATTTTATAATAGACATTGTTTATGCGTGGGATTTTATTTACAATAGTCGTGTGTGTTTCATTGGTTACAAATTTTTAATTTATGAGTGTATGGGTAGCGAACTCAGTCCAGTTTAGTCCGACTTCTATTATTTCTGTTATTTTGCAAGAAGTAGGGGGGAAAAGTTTATAAAAGTCTTTTACAGGTACTAACCTGTGTTCTGAAAGGAGGGGGAATTTAACCGTGAGGAGGGCATTTGGAGGGTAAGTGGAAACTATCCGGTGGAGTTCGGGGGGATCGAGGTTTTCGGGATCGACTATGTACGCGGTGGGGGTAGGGGTGGTGATCTCATAGGCAGTAGCGAGTGCTAGGAAATGGAGAGGACGGGGGAAGGTGCGTGGACGAGAGGGGTCAGCGGGGGATTCGCCTAAATATTCTAGTTCGGGCGAGG